CATGGAGGAGCAGGATCTTGCAGAAATCCTCAAACGCTCGCCCCACTTCTGGAAACGTTACCATGCCTTCTGGAAACGCTCACCAGCCTTCTGGAAGCGCAGTGCCTTCTGGAAAAGGGCACCTTTCTGGTAAAGCAACGCTCTTCATCGTTCCCTGTCTCTGACGCCCCTCCACACCTCTAACACTTTACTTTAATCATTATTGTTATTGTGGTAAAACAATAAATCTGCTTGGTGTCATATTTGCTCTACGGACTTTTCATTATATAATAGTATGCCATTGCATGACATTTAACATTAAAGTGGGACATTTCGGCGAATAGAATTCGTTCGTTAGAAGTTGGCTGACTGACGATAGTAGTCTACGCAGTCCACATGTCGTCACCCTTGAAAGGTAAAGATATCATGACGGGCTTTTTTGGAACTGATTATTCCAGCAATTTCGGCCGTAGAGAATTGCTATACTTTTGAATAAAGCGTGCCGGATAGCCACAGTTGAGTAGGGCTGATTTGATGCGCGAAAGCTCTTCAGGCAGGGTCTCACTAGAGCAAATGTTTCCTGCTCGTTGAAAGAGGGTATTTACTAGATTACGTTTCCACTAAATTAGCACAAAACTCATGAAGTGTGGGTATTGCCTTTCCAGGTATTTTTTTGGAAAACCGAACGCCCTATTGAACCATCATCCTCTCTAAACATAAGGACATCTATTAGACAGTTGTCATTCTGTCGACGTCAAAACAGCGTTTCGAGCACTCGTTCGGGCCTGAACAAACCGAACCATGCGTTATTTGGAAGCTGTATACATACAGTGGGAGAAACCTGACTTATGCAAGCAGCTTGATCATGTGGTCAACCTCCAATTGCCCTAATAATTGGTCATTTACTTCAATTCCTTAGTGTTTTTCGTTAACTTTCCTCACCCACTTCTTTCCATATGTTGGCTTAACGTCTTGTCCTCCATAGTTTTTTTTAAACTGACCCACGTTCATTGTTGTTGCCAGTAATTCTGTGAAATTCACAATTGCTCTATGTGTCCTCGTTATCTTTCTTATGCAGCGACAAGTAGCAGCTGAGAAGCTGTCGCGAAATTTGTTGATATCAGTAAATCCTGCTGTTTATGCCTGCTTCCAATTTGCACCGGGGAACAAGTGCTTTATAATTTGCTTAAATAAATAATTAAGTAAGTAGGCTAAATAAAGTCAAATACTGGCAAGTTGTTGGTGGTTTTGATCTGTGACACGGTAGAAGATATCTGAGCTGTAGAATTTATCCAATCCCTGACAATCACGGACCATCGAGGGAGCGCCTTGCACGAAGGTCTCATGGTCTAAGAACTGGCAAAGTCATAACAGGTTTGCCGACAGAGATCACTAAGTACGGTGTTTCCTGTTTGCCAATAGCAGGCTAAATAGGACCACCGGAAATGAAATCGTGTGCTTCCGATGTAAATGTTAAGTGCATGCGAATCCAAGGGAGTCGCGGAATGACTAGTTGCCCTCTTGGGCAAAATAAATCTAGAATGTGCAAAAGACTGACAAATTGAAAGTAGGTCTTTTTCAAGAAATACCAGATAAACACGGCTTTGCTATTCGCTACCCAAACATTGTACAGAAAACGATCGTGTTGGGAGGGTGATTTTTGAACTTAAATGCTGATGCTTTTGAAAATGGTTAGGCGATCGTCTGGATGCAGATCTCTATATTTTATTACAAAAAATCCTTTAGGAAACAGGAACAGACGTTATTGTAAATTTTCGACGCCGACACACCAGGTCGTC